TTACTCTCATTGAGTAACGTAACGGAATACGTTACAAAATACATTTTGGGGCATGTAATCTGTATTCTGTAATCTGTAATGGAATACATTTTAAAAGTAACCTTCCCAACACTGGGTAGGGCTATAAAACACTAAACTTCAGGTTCAACCCTAAACTAATACAAAATCAGAATAAACACAAGGCACAAAATGAACTTCAAGGAAACACTACACGCTTGGTCAAAATGACCCGGGATCATGACAAGTACTGAGTTTTAAATTTGGAGAAGTCTTGAAATGCCACTGGTGTACTATTACAGGACATAAACACCTCAGCCATCTGAAATAAAATTCAGAGCAAGACTTTGTATTAATGCCAGACAAGTGTTATATATCTCTACTAGGAATAGAGTTTAAGAAGGACTGCCAGCTCAGATAATTCAATACTAGAAAATTGTTTGTTATAAAAAAATGTTAATGTTTTTCTGCAAGGAAAAAATAAACATACAGTTTTTAAATTTTAATTTTGATGTACCGAGTAAGTGATAAATGATGAATGGAAGGAAAAGTCTGGGATCATAGCCAGAATTACCTTTCATTGCCAAGTTTTGCACAGACCTGTCTTAATGTCTGCTATCTTACCAGCAGGTCACGAGGTGCTACCATGGTCAAAAATAAATCCAGCAAAGAGAAGAAGATGTGACTTGTCTTTTGCATAAGAGAAGGATATATTTATAGGACAATATTCAGATATGTTGTTAAGACCATGTCCTAACCTGTAAGAGATTTGTCATCTTAAATAGTCTGTTTAATTTCCAAATGTATTTTCCTAAAAAAGCACATGTTTAAAAGTAAGATAAGTTCATTGTAAAATGTTGAGTAAAATAACATATTGTGCATGTTCACTGTGATCCAAGAGTTGGCTAGAATAGCAAGAAAAATGCAGAGTAGACACAAAGACAACAAAACAACCAAAACAGGAAAATTACTTATTTCATCTGCTTCTTTTAGCTTTGGTATTTTAGAGGAACACATTACAGAAAATGCAGTGTAATGTTTTAGTGTCTTGCTAGGTGTACAGTAGCAAGTGTTTAACCTTACTGAATTTTTGAAATTCTACGATACTGTTACTGTAGTACTATTTTAATGAGCACAGATGAGTTACTTTGGCTTGCACTTCTGGAGAGACACAGTGACATTTCTCTAGAAAGATCTAGCCACTTAAGCTCCCTTAGGAAACACAGTATAAATGGCTACTCATTTGCTTCCATGCTCACAATTTACTTTTGACAATATACCATTTATTTTTCTTTAAAAAATTGCTGTATTTGCAAATCCAGACATTAGGTGTCTCTGATACCTTCAACATTCACAAAGCCTTAAACTCTATGGAGAAAAAGTGAAGAGTGACATAAATGGGAGGTTATTGTCACCAAATACTCTGCCAAAATAAAAGGTCTGAGGACAAGTAATGACCTGTATGAGAATGACTATTGGTATTTTGGAGACATACAACCACTCCCCACGTAACGTTAACCTGTATGCCATTTTAGATATATAATAATTTTGGTGAAAGTGTAGGATTGAGTGAATAATACCTTGGTCATACAGCCCTAGAGGCTAGTGGTAACCACTTGTCACTTAACTGGTTGGTCTATTCCCCAACCAGCTGGCAAAAACCTTGTGTTTGCTTTGGCCACTAGTATATTTCTGCTGTAGTAATTTGAATCGAAGTGATGGATGTATCCAAAAACACTGTCTACTCTCTGAGGTGTACTGACACTGCCAAAAGTGTAACATAAACTAGAAATGGAGGCAGTTGGCTTCACAGTTATAGTGGCACTTTATGAAAAATTTTGGCTGAGGTGCAGCTTTTACTTTGAAGGCAAACCTTCTCCATTTCCAGTTTCCATCACACTCTTTCTAGTATTTCTACTGCTGGGCCAGTAGTTAGGAAGTATTCAAAGCATTTTTATCTGAAGAAGTACAGCTAACTGTGGCAATCTGCTAGCAACCAGTGCAATAACTAGGAGGTTTTTGGTACAGAATCTTCTTTGAATCCAATTTCACCTAGTTAAGCCAACAACCTCACAAAGTGGCTAGTGAAGAAATAATTTATGAACCTTTTTAAAATAAATAAATAAATTTTAGATAAATGTGCAATTGAGCAAAGTGTGTGTCATGTCATGTGAGAAACCTCTGTAAATGTTTGACATAATTTAATGAAAGCTGTTGTTGAGTGCAAGGTAAGAGACAGGTATTTTCAGAAGCTTGGTAGATCAGCAGGTTGGCACGCTAGTAAAAGAGCACACCATATAGCTAAGGATAGAGCAACAAGTGACGCACTGCAGTTTTATACTACTGGCAAGTGTAAATGGGAACAAGGCAAGCAAGCAGAGCCACTGCTAGCCTTGCCCACTTCTTGGAGGAAGTAAGTAAAATTAGTATTACTTATCTACACACATGTTAGAAGGACAGACAGGCAGAGCAAGAAGAGGAGTGAAAAGGAGAAGGCAGGTTAATGCCTGAGAGGACAAGAGGAACCATGACATGGATTCACTTAACTCAAACTAAAATCATTAATTAATTGACCAAAAATATTAATAATGAACTTCTGCATAAGGAGAATCTGTATTCACTCATCTAATTGTGTTCCAGAATGCTTGGGTTTTTTTTTTGTCAGTCACTTCCCACAATGTCAAACTCAATTCTCTCATCCTCACTCAATGTTTCAGTCATTTTCACGTTCAGTGAGCCAGGTAACCTCTACTCCCTGTAGTTTAAATGTCAGTGCTTTTCTATAATTATGCCTTTGAGACATTCTTATTTACAAAATCCAATGCTGCCCATTGTATCATTATGGAGGGAAATCCTGTTGTACATCCCACCATTGCTAGGACACTATTCTGTTATGTTGCTGAAGTGAAGTTTCATCTCCAAACAGTTTATTAAAGTTTATGGATTTGGTTTGTTGTAAAACTGTGTGTTTCAATAAAATATGCTGTTCTTTCTCTTTCTCCACTGTAATAACCTAGAGTAATATTAAAAATGCATGTTAGTTGCATTCAATCTTCATGAGCATTTTTATTGAATATAACTATAGACTTTGGTCTAACTTGACAAGGTGTCTTGTCAAGTTAGACTAGTTTCCCTAAATTAAAATTTAATCATCAATTAAATATTCTGTAACTATTTTATTTTCAGTTAGTAGTGTTAATTGATTTTTTTCTACTATAAAATGACACAAAACTGCTTATCCCTTTAATGTTGAGTTTGTGGAGGGCTATTTTAATTTACTTTGACACTATTAATAAGAACAAAAAAAATTCATTATACCTGATTTTTGGTTTTTAAATATTTTAGCAGAGACTGTATAGTTAAAATGTATGTGATATGCTATAACGTGTTGAATGAAATAAACCAAAACTAAATATGTTAACATATGATCATTCACAAAGGTTTAGATTTCCTTTCTCCCTTCTATGTGTGGTTAAAGGTAAAAAATTATTTTTTATAACATAATCAGCCTATGCACGTATATATGCCTGCGTCACCTTTTAAATATATATATATATATATATATATATAATCAGCTTTAAATCTCTTTACATGTAACATGAGATTTGCTGTGGAGGAGATATCAGATTTTGTGAAGGCAGCATTGGATTTATTTGATGACTCGTCACATTATCAGTTTGGGTAAGCTATATAGTAAGATCAAAAATAGAAAGGAACCAACAACTGTGGCTTTATGTGCCAGCAAGCATCAACAGACACGCATCTGGAGTACAAATAAGGTTGTCAGTGTGCATGTGCAATTTTAATGGGAAGCAGAATATACTGAGTTTATCTCTATATCCTACAAGTACTAGTAACTTTAATTTAAAGACTTCAGATAGTACACTATTGTACAGCTTTTAATGTAACAGCTTTTAAAAGCCCCAGAAATAAAAAAAAAAGTATTGTATAACATGTAATTTATTCTTTAAACATGAACAGTTTTGTTTTTCTCCATAATCAGTATAACATGATGTCTGTGTTTATAAACCCGTTAAAAGCATTCATTAATGCTGACAGCATTAAAAAGTCCAAATCAGGCATCTTTAGATTTATTTATTTGTGAACTATGTTTTATTGAATTTGTGCTAATATTTAGCTTACAGGGAGAGCTTTTAACTAATTAAAGACTGTAAATGGTGCACTGTTGTAGCGACAGATATTTAATGTAACTGATACAACGTGATTTATGGCATTAGTGGGCAGAACTTTTAAAACTCTATCCAGAAATTTATAATCTGTGTCATATTATCTAGTGTGTATAGATGAATATAAACTAATTTAAACCGTGTAGGCCAACAGCTCTGTTCTTCTCAAATATATGATACTGAAAGTATTTCTTTAATATTTAATTATTATCTTATTTGTTTAAATGATATGACAGTGGGAATTAATTGTCATTCTAGATGGAAATTTTGCTTATTATAGAGCATTTATGTTTAAATAATCTTAGGTTAAGCTAACCCTGCTAGCACTGATACTGAAAGCTAGGATGGATGCTAAGCAGAGGTGCTGTCCTCATTTGCTAAATGTCCTGTAAGTATAAATGATGATTCTTCTGAAGAAACTACAGTGTTGAATATTATATTTTCCAATGTGACTTTTGTAAAATAAAGAAAAAATTATACTGATTAAATGTAATGAAGTCACAGGAAAGAGTTTATTGAATTAATACATTGCAAACAGACAATTTAGCAGCTGTTTCATATTTTATGAACGCTGACAAAAGGTTCCAAATAGATGTCTCTTACTCAGCACTTTCACCCTAGAAAAAAAATCATAAAAAAAATCCAATTATTCAACACATATTAAGATTTTAGACTAGACCTAATTTAGACCAAATTAATAATAATAATATAATATAAAAGATAATCTATCTAAAGACAACTAATTTAAAATGGGATCAGATGAATTACCTTTCCAACATCACGGCTCTTGGCTCTCAGTTTGTTGACCTGAGATTCAGCAATGTCAGCACGCTCCTGAGCTTCCTCCATCTCATGTTGGACCTTTCTCAGTCTGGACATGTGGGTGTTGGCCTGTTCCTCCTGTACAGTATAACAATATGTTGGATTGTTAAAAAACATATCTGATCATTCATGAGAGCTATATTTACATGATTAACCATCTTTCATGATTTTCAATGATCACAAAACATTTTACTCACAGCCTCCTCAGCCTGTCTCTTGTAAGCCTTGACCTTGAGCTGCAGCTTGTCCACCAGATCCTGAAGTCTGACCAAATTCTTCTTGTCCTCCTCAGTCTGCATAGATAGCAAACTGTTATTTAGAGCTGGAGAAGAAACAGTTTAGGAAATTGTGAATTTCTCGATAAATGTGTAATTAATCACCTGGTAGGTGAGCTCCTTCACTCTCCTCTCATATTTGCGGACTCCTTTAACAGCATCAGCTCCACGTCTTTGCTCAGTTTCAACTTCAGTTTCCAGTTCACGGACCTTTAATGCCATGATAAATAATCAGCTTTTAATAAATGTTAGAGTACAGAGAAAAAAGGGTAGAGTTCAACTGATGGAATCAATGTGTGTTTTTTTAATACTTGAATAATAACTCACGAATATATA